GATGCAACTGCATTGTGTAGACACGAACAATTATATTTTATTCTTACCCTAGGTTGCTCGTAATCGTCGTCATTGTCATTTTCATCATCGGATGGCCCAGAACCAGTATACGTTCTTGCATTATGATTGGTAGAACCGCACTTACTGCAATGCTTTTGCCTTCTCTTCGGTACTGTTTCCGACTGATCTTGAGTGGTGGGAGGATCAACATCGGTGTCATCGCCACCGCCACCTTCTTCCGAAACACCATCATTCGGGGCATCACCGTTTGAGGTTGGCTTCACATAGCCAACAGGAAGTGGGCATCGGGTCCTATAGTGGCGCCATTCACCGCAATTGCTACACTGTCGTGGTTCTCCTTTCTTCCTTTTAGATTTTTTAGCCCCCGAACCTTTAGCTTTGACCTGTAATGGATCCAACAAAATTTCATTCGCCTTCGGTCTATTAATGTCGGGTATGTCCACGTTGCCAGTGTCCACCATGTGTAACTTTTCACATAATGATTTAATTCCCTCACGAGCAATCTTGAAGCACTCACTAGATTTTGCCCCTTTTAACATTAGTTGTAAGCTGTGTTGTTGAATAGTACCATACCTGATTGACACAATATTTTATAAAAAGTGAGTAAAATTAATGTTCACCTAGCTTTGAACCAATATAAAAAAAATTAAAAGTGATAGTCATGGCAAACCTCAATGCGAAAAGTTGCGATTCATCTATTATGTCTGGTTCCTCCAAGCTCTCTAGTGTCTTCGGCTTCTTTGACCATCTTCGATGTACTAGGCCTTCAGGAAGTTCCAGTATGCTCTCTTCTTTCAGTACAAAAATCATATGACGGCATGGTATTCCCATATAATTGTAGTGATTACAACTACACTCCATTGCAAAGGGTTCAACTGTGTACGTGACTTGAAAAACCGTATCCATGCCAGACACCTTGACCTTGTACACACGCTCAATTTCCGATCGCACTGTCTCCAACCTTATGCAACATGCCGACTTTTCAACCTCGTCTCTGAATAAGAAGAATGCATTCTTTGTGAAAACCGCTGCTCCACTCTTCTGAAGTGAGACTAAGACATTGCTTGTGATGGTTCGTTCTCGATGAATGGATTCAAAATCAGCATGACGCTCATTCTCCCTCATATCCCTAGTCCAACGATCAAAGTGAATAAAGAACTCAATGAGATTTTTATCCTTCTCGATATAATTGGCAAGTTGAGAGTTCAATCCTTCACATCTTGATGTTGTACTCAAGCCTGCGAAGAACTTCGAACGCAAATATGCATACCCCCATTCATGTCTTTGCTAAAATAAATTGGAGACCCAATTGTTGTGCTGAAGGGAGCATTCCTCAACCACTGATTTCCACTTTTCTTCGAATTCTGAAGGTTCCCAGTCAGCTGACACAAAATGCTTCCATCGGGGCAAAAAAGTAGGACGATTCTTCACATTTCTGGTTATAGTCTTGTCTATATTCCAGGAACATAGACGATGTGTTGCATCGGGAAATACTTTCTGAATAGCATTACGCATTGCTCTATCCCCATCTGTAATAAAAGTCTTGGGATCTACACCGCCTAGCCTTCTCTTCAAAGCTCCCAACACCCAAATATAATTTTCCTCTCTCTCGTTAGCAAAGAAAGCACATGCAAATACGCAAGTTTGCGAATGGTGGTTGACACCTAAAAAAGTTCAAACAAAGTTAGATTATGCAAACTTCTAGGGTTATTTTAGCATGCTCGGGATAATTCTATGTGTGAAGGAAAAGTACCTGAAAAAATCACGAGAGGCATCTGGTAAATGTTCCTTTTGTAAGTAGCATCGAATGACAGTAATTCTCCAAAGCATGCATAATCAGCAACAGAAATACTATCGGCCCAGATTATGTTAATAAGCCGGTCGTCGTCATCCTTCTTTAGTTCAATAACGAAATGCTCGTTCGCGCTGCATTTAGCTTGCAGGTAGGCTAGGGCTGTTGCGGCATCACCTTCACTGATTTGTTCTTTCCTCTCTTTGTCCACATAATTATATGCATCCTTCCTCGTGTACCCCCAAATTGTCGTAGCCTCCTACTTCTGATACGGTCAGATTCACAATTTGAGAAGTTTTCATACCTGCAGCTCTTCTAAAATTTATCGGTGCTTTGACTGCATCACTCATACGACGTTTCCCTTTCATGTAGTGTCTATATTCTCTGGGGATCGTTTCATGTGTGTGTACATCATCAAACTGGTGCACATACCACTTCCCATCGACATTGTCTTGTTTAACACGCATCTTGGCTCTGTAGTTAAATCTGGTCTCCCCTCTTGCTTCTCTCTTTCGTTCTGTGCTCTTCATGCGCCTCATTCCCTCGCCAGAGCATACATAGTCACGCCATATCATAACTTTGTTCTTATCACGACCAATGTCTGATTTTCTGATGTCGAAGCCTTTGACTAACCCGTAGTCCATGTAGAAATCATAGGCTTCTTCTGTATCATCGAACTTCATTTTTTTAATATCTTCAGGCTGTAGAAATATGAGATCGGCGACATTATCTTCTTGGGTGGTGTGACTGGCTCCGGCACCAGCGTTTTCTTGGACTTCCTCCGACGTCAATACTAGGACTTCCTCCGACGTCAATGGTGGGTCTGCCTCCGACGTCATTGTCACTGCTAGAAATTTTGAGGAACCAAGGACGTAGATTACAAAACCCTACTGGGAATGATGGCCGAATTAATGCTTCAATGGGCCACTTAATAATTATCCCCATTAATAACACGATTTGTGATATCTTATATTTTTGGTAGGAACGAGTTGAACTTTCTATTCTTTATCTTAGTGATTTCTTTACCATTTTCACAAATAACGAAAATATTTAAAATGAAAAAACTTTCTTAGTAAAGTCAAACACCAGCTGACTCTATCTGTGTACTACGTGTATGGGGAAGGATCAAATATTAATATGAGCGAATATTTACTAATAGCACTCAATTCTTTATTCAATCGAAAAAAGTATATTTTTAATTTTAGGTTTAATAACTACCCATGTTTATCCCAAGTTCATGTACCTTAGACTAAACCCTAACTATTTTTCCGCGGGAAAAATATGGCGCCACAATTTATCCTAACCTTGTATATATAATTAACCTTCAGCGGTAGAGCAGTGGTTCCATGTCCTTCTTTGCCGCGATTTTCAGTACAGACTAAAGTTTAGATAAGAGGCACAACATGGAAAATAGGAGAATTACTCGCTCTTCGTCCAAGCTTGTGGTATGTATAATAGCTTTTTTACCATTGAAATTTATTCTAGTTAATTTATTAATCGTAGGTTCACTGTCATTGAAGGAGACCGCCGAATTTGTGACTCCAACAAAGAAACCAAGGATGCCCAAAGGTGTAAGCACTCCACCCACTCCTGCTTCAGTCATCATTTTTATTTCGGACGATGAATCTGACTCTGAGGTCACACCAAAGAAGCCAAATGGAAAAAGTATTTGTCTACCTTCTGTTGACAAGGTAATAAAGGTGTCATGTTTGCCATTGAAGTGTTCTTTGCCGTTATTCCGTCATAACGAATGCATTTCGAATCGTGTTTATTTGTGGCCCCTATTCCAGGTTGTTTTGAAGTTTAAGCTACCTACTGCTATGGAATACGATGATGAGCAAATCCAGCTTGCTCACTTTATATTTTTAGCCAATCTGCCACCTGACGAAGTATGGGTCAAAACCTCTAACAACTCTTGTACCAGGAAGTCATTGTGGTCCTTAAGCCCTCGCTCATTCGTAGATGCTGAAGTAATCAACGGAACTCCAAAATTTTGTTTTGTTTGTCCACTATCAATGCTTTCTACGTACAATTATTTTATAACAACTCGATAGTATCATGAAGTGTTTTTTGTCCATGTTATATTAGGTTATAACAGCGATGGCCTGCCACTTGACTCTAGAAGAGTTGTGGACAAATTCTAAGGACGGAAAAGGAGTGTGCTATCTGCCTGCTGAACTACAGGTTGTGGTTCGATTATATTTAATGACAATTTCCTCTCACCAAAAAAATTACAACACATGTTTTTTTAACGTGAATCATAGTGTTGACAAAATTTCAATTGTGCAACTACCACATGGGCTAGTGATTTCATGTGGAATAACACCCAAGATGGCATTAGACCTATACGAATCAAAATTCCTTAGTCGAACCAATATGGTGAACAAGGTAAACTGTTCGTCTTAATAAGTATTACATGGTTTGCAGTTTATTTTTTTTATACGTGCTGACAATTTCCGCATATGTAGGTGTGTGTTCCGATGAGAGATAATGCCCATTGGTACTTGGCTGTCATTAAGTTGGACAAGGAAGAAGTCCATATCTTGGATCCACAACCAAATGAAGACCGCAATTCCTTTCGACAACAATTGTTCAAACAATGGTTTAATTGGGATCATGTATAGTTAAACTGATTGGCTCTCAATCGTATAATTAAATTTGCATTCATGTATATGTAACCCAAAAGGTAAAACTGATTGGCTCCCAATCAGTATAATTAATGACCAAACCCCGTACAAGGCAGATAGAAAATTCTTATGTAATTAATTTAATGTTCCTAGGATATGGAAAGGATTCCATTCCTTGAATTTCCACCAACGATGTTTTCACTCCCTTTTAGTGAGAGAATTCATTGTAGTAATAAATACAATAAAAAGGCATACATAATTAATGGATTCTTTATTGTGTATAATTAAAAGGGTATTTTACTATAAACGAAACATGATAGATTCACAGGGGGGAATAAAAGAAGCATGAGTCTTGATGAAAAAGGGAAAAAAATCACCATAGATAAAAAATAATTATAATCAAGCCATATCCATACTATTCACGCCTATCATCGTCACTATACTTGTGACCAAATATAAATAAAACCATAATTTTCGAAAACCATTAAAAAATGAAGATTAAATAAGTAACACATTCTTCGACCTAATTGGAACTGCTTAGAACAAAAGCGGATTAAAATCTCCCCCAATGAAATTCATTTGCAATTTCATAGGTAGTCCCTACTTCCACTTCTATAATTTTGAGAAAACATTGCAATTTCACCAATAGTCCCCACTCGTGGGCCAATTTCAATTGCAAGCAAATTTGCCCCTTTGCAATAGCTTCTCACATCATAGCAAGTGTAGGATGCAATTGCACCTCCTTGCCACATCATCTTGCAAGTCACAAAAATTGCACCATTGGAGATGACCATTACTGCATCTCGTCACCTGTCTTAGGGAAATCAGCCATGGCAAATTCACAAAATATTGCATGCATAGAAAAATATTTGTCTGGACAATTAAAAAAATGGGAGACTTTCCTAGTCAGAACATGTACTGGCTCCCCTCAGTACCTGACAGTTTTGAGTGTTGGAGAAAAAGACTGGAAAAAAAAAACCAACAAAGCCTTAGTAAACTTCTTAACAAAAGACATCCATTGCTGGCCCCTTTGCTGCTCCAACGCTCCACCCCGCCCTGCATCAATTGACTCTCATGTAAGCCGAGGACGTTTGCTTGAGGATGCCTCAGGGGTCTCTTCATGCTCTGTATGCCGAAGGTCAATAAAAGTATTGGTCAATTCGGCGATACGGTACACTAGCAAATAGGCGCACTGGTCCTCCTTAGCATAAACCCCCATATCCATCCCAACCCTTTCAAGAAAGGTGGTCAAGAAGGTGGCATATGGAAAGGCAGTGTACCAGTTTTCCCCTCTAGGAGCAGCCTCAACCATGTTCAGGCACATGAGAGATGCGAGGTTAACAGGAACACCTCTTTGAGCTTGCACAATGATAAACAGGTCAAGTTTACGAATAATCGAATGACCACGGTACCTCAAGTCTGCTAAAAGCATAATATTTTGTTTAAAATTTCTTTGGGCTTTCTTAACCGTCGAAGCCCAGTCATCATCTCTTAGGGGTCGTTTGGAAGTTGGGAGTCTATGAATATGTGTATTCTTACAATGTATGTATTCTAAGTGTAGTGATTGTAAGAAATAGATGATTGTAAGAATATGTTGTTTGTTAGTTGTGATTCTCACTTTTAAAGAATATAAGGATTCTCACTTTAATGACCAAAAAGACTTATATAACCTTGAACTTCTCTTTATATAGTCAATGAAAGAAGGGGCAAATATGAAATATATAAAAAAATAAGGATAAGAGGTGCAAAAAGCAATCACAAAAGTAAAGCAAGAGAATCTCACCTTTTTGTAGAGATTCTAAAATGAATGATTCTAGCCATTTGAGATTCTAAAGTACCAATCAAATGCATGCATTCTGAATAAGTTTATGTCAAAAGAACGATAGATTGTAAGGAATACACACATTCACAGAATCACTCATTTAGACTCCTAACTTCCAAACTACCCCTTAGATAAGAGGCTTCTTTTACTTTCCATTAGCTCATATTGATTTAATAATTTTTGGCTTCTTTGTAAATTGGGCTAGTGTTTCTGAGCCCATTCTCTTTGTGGAGGAAGGCATCAGACGTCTTTTAAAAGAAGGAATAAAATCCTTCACCCAATCTTAGAGAAGCAAGTCGAGGAAGAGCTCCTTCCGCTCTTCATCGACTTCCTTCCTTTTGTTTTTCCTCTTTCTTATCGGAGGTCAAAATTCCTAAATTATTTTCAGCCTTAGATCGATTTACAGAACCTGGATCAACACCTTCATCATAATTTTTGTTGGCCCAAGGTTGTCCATTACGAAGGGTTACAGAACAAATAACCATGGAACCCAACTTGAAACCTCCAAGAAACTTAGTAGAATTGCGGTTATCATTCCCCGCAAATGATGTGGTGATTGCATTTGAGTTTCCTGCAAGTCTTGAACTACGTCGAGGGCTAGAATTAGAAAATAACCTTCTAGAAATCCTAAGTCAAAACAATGCCAAGGTGAAAGAAAGAATACAGTAGTGTTCTTAGACAACAAGTTTAAACAAGTATGCCCAGCCCAGTCGAATTAAGCAAATAATGAACAGCAGCAATCGGAGCAATGAAGGTTGGAAGCTTCTTCCGATACAGAAGGATGAATTTTCACTTCAAACTAAAAAACATGAAAACAAAATTTGTGTCGCCGTACTTACCATATCTTTCATTATGGCTTCCTTTTCATGATTCTTTCACTCACTCCCTTTTCAATCAAGCAATTTTTGAGTCCCCCTCCTAGTTAACTGGCTATTCAAGATTTGGATGCTCTAGTGCTTGCTGATTGCAGACGAATATAATCAGGCAGGGGTTTTCACTCCTAGCAAGCTTTGGGATGCGGAAGGGGTAACTTCCTAACTCAAACTTCTGCAATTCCAGCAATGATCTCTTCTCAAACTGGCTTCAACAACTTTGCCTATCAGCCCTTCGCCCATCATCGCCATCCCCATTGATTTTGTCTGGAGAAGTTCGGGTTTGCATTCGGATTGTAAAATTTCAGCTTTCGATAAGCTCTTTCCTCATCCACCACTCGAACCGACGATTCAATCCATCAGTCCTCTAACAAACCATACCCTAATCGATTATTCCCCGGCTGTAGAGACGAGAAGCACGGAAAATCCAGTGCTCGGCGATTGAAGAAGTCGTGGGAGGAGAATTGGTTGGATAGTCAAAGGAGGAGAGGAGAGGAGAGGAGAGGGTTCGTCAGTCACCGATTGAATGACAAAAGGGAAAGGGGGATTTGAAGATGAAATGACAGCTCTGGGATTACATCTTCCCGACTGAGGAAAAAATCAAGTACCTTGATGAAGAGAAACACAATTACAAAAATCGGGTGTTCAATGATGATTAAAAGAAAATTAGGAATGGGAGTATAAAAAGATCTGAAAAAGTTTTATATGGACTAAAGCTCACGTATAGAAAAGTAATGTAACTAATTAATTTTTACGCATTGTATAAAAAAAGATTTAATTAGAATATATGTACACCGTTAGATTAGATCAACGGTGTGGAGAATCTGTCACATACTATGCGTTAGGAGAGAGCCTGACGTACGTTGTATGTCTGTGTTCAAACTTGATTTTTGCACTTAATTATATTTCGCTAAATCCAGAACCATCGGTTATTATTTTTAGATTAAATGAATCTTGTTGCTTGGGTTAGATAATTAGAGACTGGAGTTCATTCATTAGAGGTTAGGGTATAGTATCATGCCCCAAACTCCGGTTAATTCGTGCTCTAAATAGTAAAAATCGGTGAGCGTACAACTTTTATGCGCAAGCCTGAACAATATGGCAATATATATATATATGGGTCAGACTCGTATGCTCCAGACGCATAGCATGCTCCAGATTCTCTACACCGTTGATATAATCTAACTGCATCTATTAATTCTAATTAAATTATTTCTATTTTACTATTTAAAGATAATTAAATGGTTCCATTATTTTCTTATACGTGCTATTTAGTTCTTGAACATATTTTCTCATATCTTTATGTATCATACCTAATTTTTTACAATCATAACTTAATCCCCAATTTGGCATTGTCTCTAGATTTGTATTTTGTTTCTTCGCACAAACAAGGGTGTCGATTGTCAAGCCAACTCCAAATCACCCTTTCATGTTTCCCCTTCATCTAGGTCGGTGAACCTTCTCATCCCCCTTGACAGTCACCAAATCTATCCCTAGCAGTCTCAAATCGTCGATCACTGGATTTTTACGCATTCTATCCCTCTCCTCGAATAATTTTCAGTTCATCTCTCATCCTCGCCACCACATTATTCTCGACTATCTTCGTCGAGAAGTTCTCTCTCTACAGAAACTCAAGGTATGTCTCCCGCTCCGGCTGCTGCGTCTCCTTCCCTTATGCCCCCTCGTGTCCAGGAGAAGGCAATTCAGTGCGATTCCTCAATTTGATTCCATGTAGAACCCTATGTATAGTTTAACCAAAATTGGACATGTGGATCTCTAGGAATAGTCCAAACGAAAATGGAATCAAGCTGCGAAACAACACTATTCCCAGATCAATTCACAAAAAATTATTTCACAGAAGATGGCCAAATAAATCCCCCAATTCGATAATAGACACCGTTCCTAGATCTACCGAAAATGCAGAGAGGAGAGCAGCATAGTGAACCGAAGAAACAAATTATCTCACCACAATAAGTGGGCCTCTGCTTTAGATGTTGTTTGGATCGGAGATGAGAATTCCCGCTGATTTCTTGACCCTCCGCCGCCGACTTCCAATTTCTTGTATAAGGGACGACGGCGATGATGGCGTATTGAACTTTAGGCTTCAGATTCATTTACTCCATTATACAAAACATGATGATTATTTATTGTTGGGGATTGTAGTGGACGTATAATAATTTATGGGGTGTAATTAGTAATTGTAATTATTAATAAGAAATTAGTTAATTATAAATAATAATAGCCATTAGATTAGATCAACGATAAAAAGACATGGAGCGTGCTATGCGTTTGGAGAGCATACGAGTCGTATCCATATAATATATATATATATATATATATATATATCGCTTTACTATCACTCTCATGTGGGACATATTGAGCGGAAGTTGTCCCATGTGATATTGTGGTGGTCGACAAGAACTTTGAAGGGTGTCCTTCAGAGGAAGAGTGGAATAAAATCTTCAAGATTTGTGGTATTTTGAAGCCTTTTTATGAGATTACTACTCTATTCTCTGGAGTAAACTATCCTACATCTAATTTATACTTCATTAATGTGTGGAGAATTGAGTCAAAGCTACTTCAGGAATGCAATAGTGTTGATGGTGATATCCAAAAGATGGCTACAGCAATGTGGATGAAGTTCGACAAATATTGGCAATCCTATAGTCCATTTCTTTCTATGGCTATGGTATTAGATCCACGTTATAAGATGGACTTCGTGGAGTGTTGCTATGAAGATTTGCATGGTCAAACGATTGCACAGATAAAACGTAATGAACTTCATAAAAAGATGGTTGATATTTTGAAGGATTATGGAAATGATGGTGGAAGTTCAAATGAAAATATATCTGCTATTAGTGTGGACTTGGAAGATGATGGAGATGAGTTCATGAAAGTAAGTGTTCACTTGTGACTTGACTAGCTATGTGAATTATTGACTAATTATTTTATTATGTATATTTTGTACTCTAATTTACTAACTATATAGTTTCTTTTTTTAATAGAGATTTGATTCTTTTGGGGAAAATCAATTATTCAAGAACAAATCAGAATTAGACATCTATTTGCAAGAACCAAGGCTTGATCGAAAACAAAAGCTTGATGTTCTCATATGGTGGAAAAACAACGCATGTCGATTTCCCATTGTCTCTGCATTGGCTAAGGACTTGTTATGTATTCCCATAACCACTGTAGCATCTGAGTCGGCTTTTAGTATGGGTGGTAGAGTTCTAAACCAATGGCGCAACTCTCTTCTACCGGAAAATGCTGAAGCTTTGGTTACTACTCGCAATTGGTTGTATGGATTTCCTGGTGAGTTTTATTATATGTTTTTTGTAAGTAATTTTAAAGTTTTACTTGTACTGATGTTTGAAATTTGACTTATTTGATGCAGCTACTGACGATCATGATGGGGTTGATGTACGAATCTCGAAGTTGAGTATTAACAAAGAATCATCATCTTCGGAGGCCTCTATCTCTAATCCTATCGATTAGGAAAGATGAAAATTTTAAAAGTTGGTTTATAGCTTGTTTTGGTGAAGTTGGTTTATGAATTGTGAACCAGGTTAAACAATTACTACTATCTTCTATTTGTTTGTTTTGATATCTATGGATGGTTGAATTGAATATCATGTCTTTGCTTGAAATTCATTGATCAAGTTTTTTTTGTGCTATTTATTATTCTTTCTATTGATCTACAAAAATTTGATAATTTGTTCATTCAAATGCATTTGATAAACTATTATCATAAATATTTGAGAATTTTTGTTTTTCAACCAAATACTTGTCATATTTGTTTTCGTTTCTGAGAACGCGCGTAACCCGAAATTATCCGAGACCCGACCCGAAAATTTTGGGTTGGGTCAAGATTTGACCCGATATGAACTAACCCGAAATGATCCGACCCGCTATGACCTGTAACCCGGAGTCACCTGACCCG